TTATAGCCATTTAGCACAGACTTCCGCTTTGTATCACAAGTGTCCTTTGTTCCCATAATCCTGTTTATGGCACCCCCATAAAACTTGACAGCTTTGAAGGCTTTTGATACAGCAAAATATTATGCATTATCTTACATGTGTGCATGAAAGCACAGGTGTTATGTGCTCATGACTTGAAACCGGTCCTATCTCTAGAGAGTCACTGAGCGCATTTATGGAGTTAAAAGCCTGCCCTCTCCAATCTCTGCAATACAAGACATGAAAGTCTAGTAGCATGTTCAAGGAACGACCCTTTTTGAAAAGATAGCTGGATTTTTTGGGGATTTTTTTTGAATCTTCTGGAATGGTCCTGTTCTATAGTAGTTTCCTGCATGCCTATGTGCAGGCAGACACAAATGTTATCCTTGCCAAGGTAGACCACAGCGGGGAAAAGACAAAGCAGTTGAGGAGAAGCTGTTGACAGCAGGGGAAAAAAAATTACTGCCCTTGAGCTCTCAAACCAGCCAAGCCTGCCAGCATCTCTGTGGCCTCAAGCCTACCTTGTTGTTTGTACTGTCTAGAGTATCCTATTGAGAATCCTAGAATTTTGTCTTTAAATAGAATACTTGATGAAAAACAGGCGCGCTTTAGATGTCCAGTCTAGTAAATAAATACAACATGAACTTAGCCTCCTGATAGTCATTGTCAACCCCATTGCCATTTTATGTCTCATCTGGACAAAAAGACAAAGATGCATTACAAAAAGAATGTTAAGAGACAACTGAGAGTCCTTCTCAGGCTCACACTGAGCACTTGAAAAGCCATCTGCCATTATAAAAACAGCCTGGGTGGTATTACTGGCATAACTGGCATTCCAGATCAGAACATCAGTGCAAGATAGGTGCTATCCTTAAATTTGTAAATAGGTTTTCCTGCACGTCATCTGTGGATTCTACCTCTCCCTGTTTATCCTTGTAAACAATCCTAAGAGGTAACCTGCAGGACTTTGATTTCAGTGATACAGAAACAGAACTATTTTTTCAGGAAAAAAACGTGTGAAACTGGTAACATTTTTATTTAATTAGTGCTATTCTTGGTCCCCAAACTGACTATTTGTCTTCTTGCCCAGTTAATATTACACCTGTTTCATCCTGCTTCTGAGCTGAAATGATATAAACATAGTAAATATTCATGATTTTGCTAGGAGAGCATGCCAGTTTTTTCAAGTTAACTTGGATTAAGATGTGGGCATTGAATAGCATCTCTTCTCAGCCTGCCACTGATTTTGGTTTTCACTGTGGCTGCATGTTTCATGTGCTGGATGGTTTTAGCTTGGTTGATGTTTAACAAAAAGAAAATTGTCAATATAAACATCAAAGAAAATATTATGGTTGTAAAATTAAACCACCACAGTGGAGAAGGATACCTAAACATGTTTTTAATCACTCATAATTTCCTAGAAGAATTAAGACTTGTTTGTTTCACTGCTGGTATTAGAAAAATAGGCACTTTCCTTCCTCATGTTTTGGTAGTACCTGCTGCTGGAGCCAGATGACTACATGCTGACACATTTAGAGGTTCCTATTTGTGTGTAGAAAACAATTTCTACAAGAAGTCAGTTACAAAGCATATCTATTTTTTTCTGTTTTATTTCATGCACAATAGATTTGGAGTTATGACTCCTGTCCTATTGTGTGAATATTTCTAATCAAGGTACAGGAATTTGCTCCTAACTCAAATTTCACACTCAATGTTCTATTTTCTTTTTGAAGTTCTAGTTCTTTAAATCAATTACATAATATGCTCGTCTTCCATGTTAAAAAAAAATAGAAATGAGTTTCCCTTATAGCTGAAGAACAAGCTAAAAACTCCCCCTAGTCTGTGATGTGAACTTACAGAGAATACAGCAAAGGCTAGACAGTTGTACAGATTTTTAAGATTACACATGTAAAGTAAGTTTAATCTATTTTAAGGTATGATTTATGGTTTTTGAACTCTTCTAATAGAACATAGAATGGTTTGGATTGGAAGGGACCTAAAAAATCAGCCAGTTCATGCCCTTTCTCACAGGCAGGGAACCTTCCACTAGACCAGGTCACTCAGAGCTCCATCCAGCTTGGTCTTCTTGTTTCTCAGTATCATAGGTTGCATTTGCTACCTAAGATATGTATTAAACCTAGATTGTTGTCTATACAAATCTTTGCAGATTTGGTACTCACCAAAATCAGAGGATGAGAAACATCTGTCATTAGTCATTAAGACAGGGCTAGATTGCTTACCCTGTCTAGTTTTTTGGGTTTTTTTTAAAGCATGTTATTATCATAAATTACATTTAAGTGTTGACTTAGTGTCAACAGTTAGCCAGCTTGACTTTATAGTGTGTTGGAATTCTGAAATTGAACATAAATTTCATAGCCAGAATTTAGGAATATCACCATGATAATCAGCAAGTCTGTAATTTTCTTCTGTAAAAGCTCTTCCACTAATGTCTTCTGAACTTTTTCTAACCAGATTTCAGATTACTTGTACTCACAGGTGCACAAATATTCCTGCATTTTGCATATATGATCCAGTTATTTGAAAATGTTTCTAAATATTCTATGTCAGATGAAATTAGTAGAAACAGGTAACACAGATAAGTGTAATTAATTAAAAAAAGATGCATATATTGCACTATCACAGGAAACTAGACCAGTAAGTGAATCTCTGGAGCTTGGAACTTCATCCTTGTATACAGGCTAATTGAGAGGTCACCTTACAAACCTCAGCAACTGGACATAATGACTTCTGTAGCAGCACTGAGTCATTCAGGCTGGAAGGGATGTAGGGATGTCTCTGGTCCAATCTCTTGCTTGAAGGAGGGTCAGATGTGAGATAGTGTCAGATTGTCTTGAGAATCTCCAAGGGTGGACTGCACAACCTCTCTCTGCAACCTGCTCCGACTCTTGACGTACCTTCAGGGGAAAAAAATTGTTCCTAATATCCATCAGGAATTTCCTGTTTTAGCTGATGTCTTTTGTGCCTTGTCCTTCTGCTATGGTCGGCTGTGGTAAGCCCACTTCCATCTTTTCCACCCCTTCCCTATGGGATACTGGAGGATGCAGTTAACTGCCCTTGAAGTTATCTGCTCCAGGCTCAAAAAGCGTCAGCCCTGCAGCTGCTGCTTGCAGATTTTCACCAACCATCTTAGTGGCCCCCTGTGAACTTTGTCCAGTTTGTCAACATCTTGTATAAAGGTCCCACAACTGAACACAAGATTTCTGATAAGGTCTAGTGAGTGCCAAGCAGAGTCTGATAAATCCTGCCCTCAGTCTGCAGCTTGTGCTGCCTGCTCTTTAGGCAGCCTGGACAGCACCAGTCTTCCTTGCTGCAAGAATGCAGCCACCTTATGCTCAGTTCACTGTCCACTAAGCCAAGGTTTAATGAGTACAAGGTCATTTGCACAGACCTAGGATGGCCCCAGGTTTCCAAGCATTGTTGGTGTCCCTGACCAGGCTTCCTTTGGAAAATAATTTACTTGTAAACACAGCTAGGTAAGAATGCTTAAGGGAAAAGAGAGAGAGCTCTCAAAAAGTCATAAACCTTTGAGATACAGACTGTCACAAAACTGAAGGGAACCAATTCATGAGCAGTGTGGCAGATACACAAACCTGCCTGCTGCTTTATGGCAGTAATTTCCACTTAAGATCTGGATAATCTAGAAGAAAGTTGGGATGCATGTATCTAAGGTGACTAATATGTATTGCTTCCTTTTTCTGATACATAAATAGGTTGTTTTTTCTGAAGTGTAATGAACAAAGGATATTTCACAGCTGCTTTCTCACTGAGGCCTAGCACTTGGCTTGGACTTTAATCTCTGTTGGAGTGCAAACATTATTTTAATATTTAATATTAAATATTAAATATTTATAGTAAGGATTTATTTTTTCCCAGTATTTTATCCCTGTGATACACAGCATTTTATTTTGTAATAACAGTCCACAGTGTTGTGCTCTCATGCTTGTCCTGCTGTGTGGCACCTCACACTGACACCTGTAAAACTTGGTAGCTTAGCTTTAGGTACTGGTGCTGCCCTTTTGATTTCAATGGTCTGTACTCCCCAGGAGAAGTTAAACACAAGTGAAATGTTTACAGCATCCAAGTCTTACCTGGTCACATACCTATATGTTTATCTTCATATATCTATTTGTAGCTGGATGGGATCGTGACAGCAGTGATACATCGCTTTCCCCAGTAGCATGTTACTCTGTAATAGCTAATTAGTGCTGAACAAATTATTTGGGAAAAAGTAACTTATCCACCAGATTTAGCTTATTTACCTGCTCAGGAAACATCTTAGATCAGACTATGGTTTTTCTCCTGTTTATTGATTATTCTACCGACATGAACATTTTTTCCACGCTGTTAAATGTGGACAGATCACTGAATTTTTATAATAAATACATGCTGTTAGATGGATTTCCATGGATTGCTTCTAGAGGTCTTGCTGTATCTTTCAGTTCGTTTCTACAACAATGCGAGGGGTCTCTCAACGTGAGATCTCTGCGGCAGAAGAGGACACATGGGGTGTCAGTGAAAGGATGTTTATATATGTCAGCCTTGCGTGCAGGACATCTCTCAGCGTACCCGGTGCACCCCCACCGTGAGGGAATCCCGGAGGCCGGGCCTTGTCCCTCCCGAGCCCGGCTGGGCTCGGTCCTGCACCGCAACCCGCCCATTTACAGATTTTCCTTCTAACGTGAGCGTAGTTTGAGGTCGGCGAGCCTGGAAAACTCGAGGATCAGAATTACTTTTCTGGCACTTAACCCGCCGTTCGACAGCGTGCGGCGACACCGCCGGAGAGCGGGCGCACGTCGGGGCTGCCCGGCGGCGCAGCGCTGCCCCCGGCCGGGCGGGGCGGCAGGTGGCGCGGATGTCGCCGTGGAAAGGGGCGGGCGGCGGCGCCGGCGGATGCTGCGCTCGCTCCTCCTCCTCCGCCGCCGCCGCAGCCGCCGCCTCCTGCGCCTCCTCGCATCGCGGCGGTGGCGGGCAGGCTCCGGCCGCGGCCCCGCAGCTCCTCGCCGAGGCGGCGCGGCCTCCGCTCCCTCCTTCCTCGCCTCGGTCGCTGCCCGGCCCCGGCGCGATGTCGGGCGGCGCGGCGAGCGCCCCTAAGCCGCTCCCTTCCTCCGGGCCCAAGTCGCTGCGGGAGATGCCGCATCCCCTGGCCACATCCAGCAGCGAGGAGATGGGGCCGGCGCTCACCCCCAGCCCCGACCTGCTCCTGCCCCGCAGCATCGCCGACAAGGTATGGCCTGGGGGAAGGGGTTGTGGCATTTGAGGGGGCCTCTGGTGTTGAAGGAGGGCGGGGAGAAGGACTGTGTGTGTGTTTCCCTGACACATCCCTTTTCCCGGCTTCGCCTCGCCGTGGGGAGATAAAGCCCTGGGCGCTGCTGACATCCATTGCAAGAGCACAGAGCGGCTTAGGGGGGAGAAGACTTCGTGTCCCTTCCCGTGGGAGACCGTCTGGGACACTGGTGGTCGCGCTGTCACAGGAGGGTTGCGAGAGGCAGTATTTTATTTACTCTATCTCCGTGGGTCACATAGTGTACAGATAGTAGTAAATTTTTCAAGCATTATTGCATCTCTCTTCTTGTAGCCCTCACGGGGAAGGCTTGGAGCTGGCATTGTTTGCTTATCATCAGCTTGTTTGTGATTGTCCTTTCCAGGCTGAACTCCTGCTCACTTCTTCCCAGCGCTGATACAAACACGGTGCTCTGCAGGAGTATCTATGCCTGTCTTCCCTTCCCTAGCTCTGGCATATGTTCACAGGACACTAACAAACTCTGTGAAGTGCCTTCCTCGTGGTGATAATTTGGTAGTGGCAGAACAGCACTGCTGATATATTAGGTATGCTTGCAAGGACTTCGTATCCTTGTAGACAAGTCTTCCTGAACTTTTTAAGGTAGGATTTCCTACAAGCAAGAACTGCAAGGGATGATGTGGGCTTAAAAGCAGTTCTGGCTCAGCTGGTTTGTGCTTGTGGTACTGGGTGGCAAGAAGTGCTTCTTCTATGGCTGTTGTCCTGGGGAATATGGAGTTACTTCTGGGTAGGATGGATGGATCCCTTAGGCTCCAAAAGCCTTGAGGCTGTCAGCAGTATCTGGCCCAGTACACTCCCATGCTACGGGAGAGTGAGTCAAAGTAGCCTGGTCTCTTCCATATTTCACCATCTGCTGTGTGCAGCTGTGATGTAGGGATTCAGCACTTCTTCCTGCCCATGTAAGGAGGCCTTTTCTTGCACATTTGCCCACTGTTGCTCTAGTGAGAAGCAAGGCTTACCTTCACTTCAAGAGCTTAGGCCTTCATCTAACAAACAGGTCAGCTGATGACCTGTGGAGAAAAGGGTATGTGACTAAGGCAGGGGTAGAAATTGTGGAGGATTTTGTCTACGATAGATGGTTTAATCATCTAAGTAAGCTGTTGTCTGGGAAACCTGTAGCAATAGAAATTGGCAGCTGCCTTCACAAATCTTGCAGCTGAGGAACTGCATCTGTTGGCAGGGTCCATCCATGCTGCTGTATAGCTGGTGAGAAGCGGTATTCTGAGGAGCATCTTACACCCTGTAATGTCTTTCCTCAGTTGTATTAAAGAACTTATTTGCTTTTGGAGTGCAGGCAAGCTTCTCTCTGCTTTACTGCTTTGAGGTTTTGAGGAGTGTGTCAGTATTCCTGATATCCTTGGAGCAGAAATAACTCTAGCTTTAGGCTGTGGTCAGCTAACTTCTCATAAGTGGGAAAGTTCTTGCACAGTTTTTCCATCAGCAATAGAAATGAAATCCTCCTTCCTGTACCCTGTACATAGTACCATTCTGTTCTAGGCACATGGCAGCATAGAAATACTCTAAAACACAGAGGAAAAGTGGCTGTAGTAAGTAATGTTTAGACTGGAGTGCAGTTCTGTGCTTGACCTGGAAATGGCACTAGGCTATGATCCTTGCAGAATAAAAGCACATCCAGTAGGAAGAAAATATATTTTTTTTCTTTCTAGCTGAATTAGTAGAAAAAGCCATATGTCTTAACCTCTTGATGGAAGAAGATCAACAGCTTTGCTGTAGATGGGATGTCCCTTCTTCACCTTAATATGTCACACACTGGCAAGAAAAAATGTAGTAATTTCTTTCCCGCCTCAGAAAAAAAATAATTCAATAAACTAGCTAAGTGTTCCTGGCTTTAAGGCAATGCCTGCACTATGTATTAAGTAGTCTACAAAGGGAGTAGGGTAAGTGGAGGTAAACGGGTAAAAGCACTTTTTGGGTGGTTTGTGTGTCTCAGAATCGTGGAATGGTTTGGGTTGGAAGGAAGCTCAAAGATGATCTAGTCCAACCTCTGTGCTGTGGACAGAGACACTTCTCACTACACTAGATTGCTCAGAGCTCCGTCCAGCCTGGCCTTGAACACTTCCAGTGTTAATCTTTACAGTCTTAATCTCTGATGATGGATTATTGGTCTTTTGAGAGACTGGCTCATTAATCAACTAATAGTACTGCAATAGCTGAGTAGGTCAGCATTCAAGTCTGACTTAGGCTTTAGTTATTAGTTATTTATTGATTCTTGAGTAGGAGCTGTTGTAATCTTCTGTCTGGTCTTTTGGGAGAATCTGGTGGACATTGATATTGGAGAAATTTTGGTCCAAGTCTCCTGTTTCAAAGTGTCTGAGTCAGATTCTTTAAGGAGAATGGTCCACATCCAGATGTGTACTAGGATATCAGTTTCGGAAGGGGGCTAGTAAAAATAGCTGGCCCATCACCATGAAGTGGATAATTTGCTTTTTCTGGGTTCCTCATGTTTTCTCTGAGCAAATACTTCCTAAAATCTGCTGCAAACTACAAGTACCTAAGACTGAGATCCTCTGAGTAGAGAAAGTTCAGAAGTACAGTTTTCTGCCATAAAGTGCTTCAATTTTTATTGCCACTGACGTATCACATAGAAGTGGCTGAAACTCTGCCATCACTGCTTTGTATTCTTTAAAGCATGGTTTTTAAACTTTTTTTTTTTTTTCATTGAGAAAGAATACCACTTTATCCTGAGTCAGAGAAACCTAGGGGACAGGAACATCTGCATCTGTGTCTCCTTTTAGATTTAGATTCAAATATGGGAATAATGTAGTATTTCAGATTCTGTGTAACTTTAATGTCTCATAAACCTTAGGCTGCTGTTCAAGAACAGTGGCTAATGCTGCTAGAGCAGTAGGTAATTGGAAAGCGAAGGAAAATCTTTTGTGCTGTTTACCGAGACCATCTAAGTAGACTAGTCTCAAGTTTTCTGAATCTTAGGAAGAGGGCTGCAGAACTTTTCTTATGTGAAATAGTATCTTTATCCTGATTTGTAGTGGACAATAGCTTTAGGAACCAGGACACCTTGACTTTTGACAAAATCTTATCTCTGAAATGAAAATAACATTTTAGCTAAGTACTTGACTTTTACAGTCATGCTTCAGGAGGTATGAAACACTTGACTTGTAGGTTCTTGTTTCTAAAGCATTTATATATCGGCCATGTGTTTCTGTAAAGATCTTTCGGTTCCCCTGAAGTCTAAAATACTGTCTTGATACCTGAGCACCATGAGTGTCTTTGAGTTTATTCTCCCTTCACCCTTGCTAGCTTTCAGATAAGGAGACAGGGGAAGCTGAAGCTGAGTGATACCATGTTTCTTGTGTTTTGCCTTTCTTTTTTCCTTTTATTTGGTTGGAATTAGCATCAGGTTAGAGGAGAAACGTGCAGAAGGAAACAATTCCTTGTGTTTCATGGCAGGGTTAGTTGTAGAATTAGTTGTAAAACTGGGGCCTTGCTGGTTTAATTTTTGGAACATGTACAAGCTAATTGAGATCTCATTTTTAGAGCAGATCCACTGCTGAGGAGGGCAAGACAGGGAGAAATGTCTGTATTTCTCTCTGCCTTTTCTTTTTTAAAAAAGAAGGAAGTTCTGCATGCACATGACTACTTGACTCCAGTGCTCAAGTTTGTCAATTTTGATAGCAAATCTGCTCTGCTCACCAGGACAAATGCTTTGACAATGAGGAGAAAAGGCAGTATTAAAAATCAGTATTACTGATTTTAGAGCATAGGTGAGAAGTAGATGACACTTTGCTGCATGAAGACTTGGATTCAGCCCCTCTGAGGCTGTGCAGATTTAGCAGGCTGCTGCTAAGATTTGGAAATGCCAGGCTGTGCAGAGTTAGAAAGAAAGTGTTCTGTACGGCTTAGTTCTGCTGTCGTCTAGCTGTGGTCCCTCTAGACTTGTATAATCTAAGGGTATCTTCCTAACATGGTGGTGTTGGCTGTTCTTGCTGTGGTCTGCCTTGAGACTGGCAGCTATCTGATAAAACTCCTGATTCACATCCCTGGTTTCTTGTCAAGAACTCCAAAAGCTTTCATATCCCACCTGTCCTAGGACTCAGGCTCCCTTGTCCTTTTTCAGGCATTTCTGACTTCTGTTACTGTACTTGTGGCCAGGTACCTGTAACTTTCTCAACTTTTATTCTTGGAAGCTCTGCCTACCTTGGTTTTGCCTCTGTTAACTTTGTACAGCTGATGGGAGCTTGAAGGCTGTTTTACAGGTAGTATATCAAGCAGATACCAGAGCTGATGTGGAATACCAGGCTTGCAGTGAATGCATACCTTGAATTTGCTAGTTCATGGAAATGGGCTTTAAAACTCCTACTGCAAATTTCTGGTTACTAACTGAAAACTATTGTTTGCATGCTCCTCTGCTTCCAAGTTACCACTCTGGTGAATTCCTAGACTTCATAATAGCACCTGATCAAATATACTCTGTGTTTGCTTGGAGTGCTGTTACATAGCACTTACTCTGAAAGGGAACCTGGCACCTCTCCAATTCCAAAAAATATACTGGGAGTTGGAAGCTCTACTTCCAGCCTCCTTGGTTGCTATTTTATAATTATTGCTCTTAAGTTCATCCACCTACAGATGAAACCAGTTTGCAGTATAATCTGAAAACTTAAAATAGATCTGCATGAGTTTCTGCGAATTTCTTCCTTCTCTGACTAGATGAGAACTTAAACTGGCACCATGTATTGAAAGAAGCTGGAGGTAAATTCTCAGTTGTGGGAGAGCCTGAAGACTGTAGAAAGTCAAACTGAAGTTGGTGAACTTGGGAAACAGTGTCAGTATGATGGGTTGATCTCTGCTCCTATCTACAGGATGCAAAAATGACAGACACAGGGAACCTGAAGCTAGAAGGCACTTCTGCATATTGTCTTGTCCAGCCTTTTGGCTCAGATGGCCCA